GCGTAACCGAAATGCAAAATCAATGGTCTCTTCAAGCGTTGTTTCTAACAGAACGATTCATTCTACACAAAAAAAAAACTCATAAACATTTTTGTTTAAAATTATCTTAGCTACATTTTTTACTTGAAACATTTTTTCTACGGTCTACAGATTCTTAGTAAATCGATTTTTTTGCTTTTTTACTCATTTACTAGGGGGGTTTTAGGAAGAAGCCCGGAGCTAAAAGTGGTAAACTTTTTTGCATCTTTTTAGGGGTCACAAAATTAATATTCTTGACAAAATTCAGCTTGTTCGTATGATTTTTAAAGGTTCAGTGGCATTTTCGTCTCTGTCGACTGGAGTAATGAGTTTATGTGTGAGTTTGTGTCATGCTCAGTTACCATCTACATCTACATCTACACTATAGACTACAAGACCATGGGAGATTTTTAATTTATCATTTTACCCAACATGAATCACATTTAAAACAATACTACAATATGTATGTAATAACACCTTCCTTCTGCAGCTATTTTTTTCGGTAATATTTTATTAATCGCAACAAAAATAGTAAATTGCAACAACTTTAGAAACTATGCCGTTAATTCTTATCGGTGCATGTAAGTCACAGGTAAGATAAACTTACCAACCTAAGATTTTTTTGTGCCGTACAAAAATATTGGTACCAGGAGCAGAAAAAAAATTTTATTTTCGGAAAATGTTTCCCAATTTTTTAACGCATCTGCATTAATCTAACTTTATTTGAACCCCCATGCTTTGAGTATCAATAAGAATTTTCGGCATCGTTTCTAAAGTTGTTTAATTGTAAAAATGTCCTATGGGGTTTAATAATTATATTATTTGCTACTGTTTTATAGTCCTATAATATATGCGTATTATAGGTTTATGTGGTTTTTAAATCATTCTAGATACATAAAAATTCCAGTAATTTTGATAAGGTACAACAGCTCTGTAATATTTTGCAGTACGGTGTTCGCACAACGCTTATACTGTTATCTGATCTGCTATTATCTAATTATAAATTATTATGACATTTACAATTACCCAGAAAAATGATCAGAGCCGAACTCGTTTACAATTATTTTTAGGTTCCCATTGTATTGTTGTTCAAAATCTGAAGGAGACTAAATACCGTTATTCGCAACATGTGTCGATATTTCAAATGCGATTTCTTGTTTGATATTAACTTGAGTTATTTTTTTTTATTTTAATGTTCACGTTTTGCATTAATATAGTACTATACACCAGCAAGTAAATAATGAAATGAATGCGTGATTTCTTAAGTTATCGTATAATTTAGCTGTCGCTATGAGTTGTACCAAGAAGCGGAGAATTTGTTTTTTATTTAGCCCATGGCATATTAAGAAAACGTAATTAAAAGCAATATTTTAATAAAAAAAACTTAAGTAAATGGGGTATTACAAACGAACATCTAATATATCAATATAATCTAAAACATTTTTGGTTGCATTCAGAAATTCCATCTTCTTAGTTTTTCTTGCTATTCTGTCAATATATTACCCTCCTTATCTCTTCTCTTCTTTTGTCTGAATTCTTTTTTGCTTTTTCAGTTTCTGGTAAAATTTTCTCGTCTCTATTGGCTTACTTAGATCTTGTAGTTCTTGAAATACTTTGTTCATATTTTCTTTCTTCTTTCTGCGGTTGATTTTCCTTTCTTCCTTACGTAGTTATTTATATTCCTCCTCTGCTTGCAGGGTTCTGTGCCCTTGTTACATCAGTAAATATGCTGTGCTTTTTCTCTCTGTTATAATCTAATATTTTTCGTCAAAACAGTCATTAGTTCTTTCTTGATGTTTCTGCACTCTTCCCACTCTTCATGTTTCTGCTTCTGATGAGGACGTTTATTATATTTACGGTGACCATATATATTTTTTGAAAAAAAAAGTACAAAAATACAAAATGTATTAAAAACACAAAATGAATCTTTTTATTGGACAATCATAACTTTTTGGCATTGAAAATAAAGAATAAACTATGCTAAACATTAAAACAATATGTTGCTAAACAATAAAAAATTATATCAAATAAACTAAACATTATATTAACTTTAAAAAAGTTAAAATCCTGTTATTAAGAGTTTTTAAATGAGGGACCTGGAATAGCCTTATCTTCTTCCGGTTTTTTGTACCATTCATATTTTTCGGAACTTATAATTAATTTAAGAAGGTCCTGCTTCGACTGAAGCAAATGAAACATTATTTTACATGTCTCATCAAAATTTACATACATCTGCATTGCAGCATCTATAGAAAAATATCAGTATTTGGGAACTTTGATCAATGAAACCAATGATCATACTGTAGAAATAAACAGACGAATAGAGATTGCCAGATCAGCATTTATACGAATGAAGCCACTCCTAACGTGCAAAAATCTAAATTTGGAGATCAGACTACGTACCATTCGCTATTATATATTTTCAATATTATTATATGGAGCTGAGACTTGGACATTAAAAAAATGTAATTTAAAAAGAATCGAGGCCTTCGAACTCTGGTTATACCGCAGAGTATTGAAAATATCATGGACTGATAGAATTACAAATAAAGAAGTACTGGAGAGGGTTGGTAAAGAAACAGAACTAATCACCACTATACAAACCAGAAAACTGGAATACCTAGGCCACGTAATGAGGGGACCAAAATATGAAATTTTGAGACTGATAATACAGGGAAAGATTCAAGGAAGAAGATCTGTTGGCCGAAGGCAGAACTCATGGTTAAAGAATCTACGTGATTGGTACCAATGCAGATCGATTGATTTGTTTAGAGCAGCAAGTTCTAAAATAAAAATAACCATTATGATTGCCAACCTCCGTAGGGAGACGGCACTCTAAGAAGAAGCATTGCAGCCTTGAGAGTGCAATTGGACATTTGTGACTTTTCCGACGTCCAATAATTATTGATTATAGAAAATAAACGCTCGATAGCTGCACTAGTACCCGGAAGACAAAAAATAAATTCACATAATATTTGTTAAAATAATAATTTTTTCAGTTTGATTTGATCTACACACTTAAGAACTTCAAGTCATCGATCCTCACTATTTTTTCTTCTCTGTTCCACTCAGAAATTTTTTCACTTGTAGCCACGTCTTTTCAAAATTCCCAGTTGATCAAAGAGTTGATCTTTATTTAAAATAGTTGCTTTGATATACAATTTAAAAGCTTAGAGAGAATAACAAACATATTTCCATGTAATTTGATTTCTTAGATCTATCCATTTGAGTAGTTTAAATTCATGTAAATTTGTACTCCAATTTTGTAGGTAGGTTACACATTTTGTGTAAAAATGTATCACTTGTGCAGTGAAGTTTTCAGTAGTGACTTGCCCGTCTTCAAGTTTACCAAGACATTACCTCACTTTAAGCCTCAAAAATAATACGTCCAACCGATGGTCTAATTTGTTTTTAAGATTAAAGTATTCTTGGGTAGCATTTGTCGCATTTGTTTTATCACCTTCTACGTTTGGAATAGCTTCATGAAACTGCGACGCTACGTTTTGAACTAGCCACATCCACATATCTGCAAAGGGATCATTGAAAAATTGTCTATATTGCAGTATCGAAAACATTTCAGTGCACTTACTCTGAGTTCTAATCTAAGATCTTTGTTGCAGATAATTGTTTTCATTTTTACAAACGCATTTCTTGCTGTTTCTACCCTGGCTCTTATTTCGGTTGTTTGATCATTATTGTCTGAAATCCAGGTTCCTAGGTATTTGTATTTATCAACCCTTTCTATCGGTACATTTCCCAAATGTATGTCTGTTGGTATATTTGTTTTCTTTGTTATTATCATGTATTTGGTCATTTTTGTATTCATTTTTAGGCCATATTTTTCACAGAAACTGTTTGTTTTGTTTAGCAGTAATTGGAGTTGTTCAGCAGAGCTTGCCATAATCACGGTGTCATCTGCATATCTTATGTTGTTAATAGATCTTCGGTTAATTATTATTCCTTCACTTTGAGATAGTAATGCTGCTTCAAAAATGGCTTCACTATATACATTAAATAGTAATTGGGACATAATACATTTCTGCCTAACTCCTCTACTGATTTCAATTTCTGGACTGGGTTCGTTATCTATTACGATTTGTGCTCGTTGATTCCAGTAGAGGTTTGTTATTATTAGTAAGTCCCTATGGTCTATGTTTTTTGTCTTTAGAATTTGGACTAATTTTTCATGTCTTACTTTGTCAAATGCTTTTTCAAAATCAACGTAATAAACATGCACTTCAACATGCATCTTTGAGCTAACACATTAAAAGCAAAAAAACTGTATTCAGACGCAAATCTGACCTAAATTCTACATACAATTTAAATTAATTGAAATCAGCTATTACGGATCTGCAGTCATATTTATGATAAATATCTTAAACTGATACTGGATACTCCACAAATACTTCGCCCCAATCGAATAGTAATCGCAAACTCTCAGAGACAACTTTTATTAATTCAGGAAGGATAAGATAAATAATACAAAAATTATGTGGTCTATTCTACAACAGTGACGAATAAATTCATACGGTAGCTGATTTGGATTTGACCTTCTCAACTAACCGACCGACCGACCGACCGACGATTCAAGTGATTCAAGGTCCAATTTGTCGTTTACGTTTCATGTTTAGTCTTCAAACTCGACCGTTTTCGTACCTTGTGACTGACATTTTAAAACGCAGTAAAAATTGCATCAAACAAAACATTACAGTAGTTTTTTAGCAATGAAGTCAAAATGGAATTTGTTGAAGATTATTTTGCGGTAACACATGAACCGTCAATAGCTTTCGAACTCTCTATTGACGGTGACGGTATCTCGGATTTTGTTATTGTTTACAAACATCAAGTTGATGAAGAGTTGAAAGGTTAATGCCAATATCATTTACAGACTATTTAAACTTATATAGTTATTATTAAATAATATACCATTGTTCGAATTAACATGAAGTTGAATTTAAAGCAATGTTTCTTCTTCGTTGCAGATCTAGATGGTTCTACAAATAGTTTATCAGAAAAGAGGAAAGCTGGTCCACCTGAAAATACAACTGTTTACACAGTAAGTTGTTAAATGTTTTCTATTTCTTTATTAAGGGTCTGGTATCTTGCGGCATTTAGCTAAGTTAACTGATTATTACTATTTCTATAATTTCTGACACCACATTTGCCAGTTTTTCTTATGTTTAATAATAATAAATTAATTTTAAACATTCTTATTACCAGTGCAATCGGTCGATCGGCGATAAGCTAAATATTTAACTTTAACTTTTTGTTGTGTGTTGTGTTGACTAAATTTTGACATGACTGACGCTGGCAGTGGCTATGCAACCAAGCCTAAGTGAGTGTAATAGATTTTAGTTATTGGAAAAGCAAAATATTTTAATAATTAATATAGTTTGAAAATATTTATTAAATATTTGTTATCTTTAGATCCGTTTTGTGTTTTATATTTCGTAAAATTAATTATTTATGAAGGAAAAAGGTTAATTATTATTCCCAAAATAAATTTTAATATAACTTTGTCTTCCAAAACTTATTATTCGTTAATAGAAGTAAGTTTGTATTTGTCATATGTGATGCTAAACTTCCTAGTTCTTTTCCATCAGGAACATGTTCAGTAATCTCCTACGACCAACTACATAAAGAATACACACTCTACAACTTTCATAGTAGACCAGAGAAATATAAAAAGCCTTTTTCGTGACATTTTTTGATACAGGCATCTAACAACTTTTTTTTTTCGTCATTATAGAGGGGGGTCTGGAATCTTCAAAAGACATCTCAGTCCAGGACGCCGCTTGACTAACCTTAGCGCAGGATTCGTTCTTCATACTCCCGGCGATAGTTCCCTTCTTCTTCTTTTTGTGCCACTCCTATCGGAGATTGGAAATCATCAAGGCTATTCTTACCTTGTTTACGGCTGAGTTCATTAAAGAGTTCATTAGTGGTGCAGCCAAACCACTCTCTCAAATTCCGCAACCATGACATTCTTCTACGGCCTGGATTCCGTTTTCCTTCTATTTTACCCTGCATTATATTTTGAAGTAATGCGTATTTATGTCCTCTCATCAGGTGACCAAAATATTCGAGTTTTCTTCGCTTTAGCGTTAACAAAATCTCTGGATCTTTTCCTATTCTTCGTATTACTTCACAGTTTGTTATTCTTTCAACCCAACTATACTAAAACAATTTTTAATTGAAGGTGATTGCTTGGCAACATCGTACTTAACTAGGCCCTTAACGATAACTTTTCAACGAAATCGTATTGAAATTATCAATTTTGCAGAGGCGTATCAAAAAAAATTTAATTATTTATTTAAACACAGTCACAAGTAATTACGTAAAAATTAAATCTAAGACCGATTTAATTATTAAATTATCATGTCTCTTTTAACAGGTACTTATCTTATAGTTGTCTAACAAAATAAAATAAAATTTTATTATTATTAGAGAGTATCTAATACAGAACTTCAAAAAACAGGAAACTTTGGAAAATATTTTTTTTTCATTAGACTAAAAACAATCTGCAATTTTAATTACACATCATTCTCTATTTATAGAATTGCTGTGCTTTTTTTTAACTGAATTTGAAAGTTTGCTTGTGTTTATTTGTTTATATAAGAATGAAAATATATTATGAAGTTCATATAAATTAAAATGAAGTAAGCTAAACTATTATCATATGAATCCGTTTATATAGCAGTGCATTTGTTTATTTCAGTAAATTCTCGAAATATGAAATGAAGATGGCACTAACTACTAAAGAGTTAATAGCTTTGTTAGAAGAAGACTCAGATTGTGAAAATGCCACTTAATGTGGTTTATTTGCCGCCGAGATTAGATTAGAAAGTTTCTGGTGTAGAAGACATTGATCTTCTTTTTCCTTCTAGTTTGTCTGTTTCTTCTTCAATATTAGCTTCCTAAATTGTTTTGTCGCACCATCTTTTTCTTGGTCTGCCAATACTTCTTCGTCCATTTGGTGACTTATATCGTGCTATTCGTACTATTCTATCCTCCGTCATTCTACTGATGTGTTTGTTCCACTTTTGTTTTCGTTTTGTCACCCATCCATTTATGTCTTCTATATTTCATGCTCTTCTTATGTTTTTGCTTCTCTCCCTATCCAACAGACTTCTCCTTGATATTCGTCGGACTATTTTCATCTCTGTTGTTTCTAACAGTCGTCTCGTTTTAGATGTGTCAGGTCTTGTCTCAGCCGTGTATGTTAATATAGGTCTAATTCCTGCTTTATAGACTGTTGTTTTTGTGTCTTGTCTTAGGTGTTTGTTCTTCCAGATTGTGTCATTAAGAGAATCCGCCGCTTTACTTGCTTTTAAGCTTTGCTGTCGTACTTCTTCTTCAACATCTCTGTAACTAGTTATATCTATTCCCAGATATCTAAACATTGCTTCCGGCTCTATTATTTTCCCATCAATTTCGATATTAATTACACCGTAGTTGGTATTTAAATGTCATACATTTGGATTTTTCCGCCAATATTATCATATTGTATTTCTTAGCTGTTATATTGAAGATATGTGTTAATCTATAGAGCTCGTTTTCTGTCTCGGCGATTAATGCGGCGTCGTCTGCATAACATAGTATTTGGATTTCTTTGTTCCCAATTCTGTAGCCATGACTTTTACGTACTGCTTGTATTATTTCGTCCATTAATATATTAAAGAGAAGTGGGCTTAACGAGTCACCCTGTCTGACTCCGCTTTGTATTGGTATACACTGTGTTAGTTTTCCATTTATCTTTGCCTGTATTTGATTATGGAGGTAGATGCTTTCGATGGTTTGTATAATATTGATTGGTATGTTCCTTTTATACAGTAGGTGTAACACGTCTTCGACTTGGATGCGATCGAAAGCCTTTGTCAGGTCTATAAAACATAGATATGATGGCCTTTTCTGTGATTTGTCTTAGTACAAATACGGCGTCTACGCAGGATCATCCGGATCTGAATCCTTGTTGTTCATCTGATAAAGTTGTTAGTTTATTGATTTTATTGGTTAGGACTTCTGTGGTAAGCTTAAGTGCGATGTTAAGTAGATTTATACCTCTATAATTGTTGGGGTCTTCTTTATCTCCTTTCTTGACCATTGGTATCATTATGCTCTTTCTCCATGCGTCTGGTATCATGGAGTGCAATATTAGTTTTTGTATAAGTTTTGTCATACTTCGTGAAAACTGATTTCTATTTCGTCTCTTAATTCAGGTACGTTATCGTGTTGATTATTATTTTCCTTTGCTTTAAACAGTGCCGTCAGGTATCTTTCCCATTCGTTTGCTGGTATATTATTGTATTTCTTGAAGAGATTGATGATAATATTATTTGTGAAGAATCAATAAAATCGAATATTGCAGGTACATATGAAATACAAGTGATTGGGAATTGTAACGATTCTGATTATGATATTTCTCTGAACCACAGATAAAACATCCAAAGAAAAATCCAGCCAAAATTTAGACAATATTTAGACAATATAAAAGCCAACCATGTAGGCAAGTCATATATTGCAGTTTTTTCACTCTTTTTGATAAAAAAGTAATTGAGAATAACCGTCACAATTTTGAAATGAATAACATAGATTTAAAAAAATTATTAGCATATGTATATTATCTGGTTTACACTCTGCTTCAAGTTTATATGCATTGGTCAAAGGATGAGGATAAAGAAGTGCATATTATAAGAGAAAGCATGAGCCGACATAGATTTATAATTTTAATTTATAATAGTGAAGAAACCGCTACATCAGTGTCAGTACATGGGCGTCAATCTAAATTTGCTTTACCAGATGAAACCAGATTCGACAATATTGGCCACATTATAAAAAGAGACGATAGTGCAAAAATGTAGGATGTACAAAAGTAATACTATTTATTTATGTAAAAAGTGTAGAATGCATCTACACCCCGAATATTTCGAAAATTTTTACCTTAAAATTTAATTTACGTTTAAGATAGAATATGTTCCTTTATTAAAAATTTTACTGTTTTCCTTAAAATTGAGAAAAAAAAAATCTTTTTGGTTGTAATTTATTCCTAATTTGTGTTTTTAATCCAATCTAATAACTTAATTGTCAAATTTCTCATTGTATATTGAGCGGCCGTTAAGGGTTTAATACTATATAAAGAATAAACTGGCCTCAAATTTACTTTACTTATCTCAAAACTATTTTAAAGTTAATAATAAAGTATATTTAATATATTCCCAATAATACACTACGCCTATGCACATATGTATAAAATCTGGAAGATATCATATTTCATATACTTCAATAAACTAAGATATCATATTTCACCAATTAACATTCTTTCTAAAAACGTAAATATATATAGACCAGCAAAATATTGATAATTTTACCGATGTTCCAAACTATTCTATGAACTTGTTTCACTATAGACTCGTGAATTGCACCAATTTATATTGTTACGGGAGCAAATTTATCTTACATGGGTTACAAATGTACATATTTACATGGGCGAAGCATGCACAATAAAAATGACCCCGGTAAGAATTTACTAATGAAATTTTTCATGGTTGCCGCTACCGTTTAGTTCAATTTGTAGATTAGTCACCTTTAATTGAAAATTGTCCGACTATAATCTTCAGCATTCGACGGTAGCACCACATCTCGAAACTTTCAATATTTTTCATGTTGTTCTGTTTGAGAGTCCAGGCCTCTACACCGTATAATAGCGTGTTAAATACATAGCCTCTCAGCATTCTTAATCGTAGAGGGATGCTTATATTTCTGTTCCAGAAGAATTTTCTCGTCTTTATGAAGGTGGCCCTGGCAATTTCGATACGTCTTTTTATTTCACTGTTTTGGTCTCCAGTTTCGTTTATTAAAGTTCCCAAGTATTTGTAAATTGATACTTTTTCAACTTGAGTGCCGATAGTTCCCGAGGTACTTTAAAATGCCCTCTCGTCGCTGAGTCTACGCGGAATGGCCGCTGTAAGGCCGGCATCACTTCCTAAGCACTACCTTTATTCATTCATTCTTCATTCATACACATCCGCACGCTATTCATCAGCAAGGAGGCTCCCTGACTCGTTCCAGGTAGCGCGTAGAAGACACTCCTAGTTCGGCATCATTCCCAGATGGGCATTTCCTCCTTCCCTACAGTCTGACTCACGCATTCTAACTCAACCAGAGTGACCCACTTTTCTAGCTTCACCTTTCAGCATTATTCACTCTTATCTTTGCCGTTGGTCCAGTAGCTTTAATATGTAATGTATTGTTTCTATCAAACACAATATTATTTAATATTATATGCCAAGTTCTTTTTTATAGTGTTTAATTAATGAAAAATAAATATATTTATACCATTGTTATACCTATTAATATCAATATAAATATATTTATACCAATATATTCCTTCAACCCACATAAACTTGTATACATCGTGTTTTATATCTTGGATCTTTTGATAATTTTGTAAAGAAATTGATTTATTTTAATAAAGTTAACCGTCTACATGTCGTTTCAAAAAGAAATAAACCCTTTTTCCTTTACTACAAAGAAATATTTTCACATAAAAAGCCGTGCTTGAACATTGTATAATACATTTACTTGAAACATGTTCCTACATTGTATTTTCATCAACCAATTTTCCGTTGCACGATTTCAACGGTTACGCTGGTGTGTGTACATTTCTTTTTATTAAGCATTTATGCCTCACGAGTCTAATTCAATTTGTGCTTATAGGTGGCAGACAGAGACACGCTAACATCAGTAGCAGCCCGATTTGATACCACTCCTTCTGAATTAACGAAATTAAATCGTCTAGCAACTCCGTACATTTTTCCAGGCCAACAGCTTTACGTGCCCAACAGGGAACAAGCAGAAAATGATTCCGAAGGTTCTACTCCTGTAGAAGATTCTCATGATGATTTGCCACCGGCGGAAAAAGGTGAGAACTCAACAAAATCGAATTTGAAGTTAGTAATTCGAGCACGAAGTTTTTTTTAATTAACGAGCAGATATATCTTGCGTCGCGTCGTGTTTAATATAGATTCTTTTTTATTTAAGAGCCGACGTATTGTAATGAATTAAATATCTAAATTTGTAGGCAATAATTTATTCATTTTAAAGCACACCTATTGTTAAATATTAGATAATCATTCATTTTTCATTTTACTCAAAAGATAATCGCCGGAGTTACCAGCTTGTTCAGATGGTACGGATTCGAATTTTTATTCGAATCAATTGCTCAGTGGCACATAATTCGATTGTTCAGACGATTCGATCGTATATCGCACTCGGATATTTGACCGATGTCCAAATTTACATTCAATTTTGTCACTGCAAACCGCATCTCATAACACGATAAAAAATTCGAATCGAACATCAATGGTGCTTGTATCTAGGTGAGCTCCTTCACACGATTCAAATGTGTGCAAACACGAAAGTGAATTTTTTAGTTATTTCCAGTATCTTAAGCAGTGTATGTATAGTCTGGCGAATATTAAATGAAACTAGAAATCACGCGCCGTAAATGGTCAAATGTAGCTGAAATCACTCTCTCAGCTTGATTTCTGAAATTTGGAATTCGATCATTGGCGGTGTGTAAGAAAATATGTTTCTGTGCTGTCACTTTACATTGTAACAGTAGAATAACATTTTTAAGCGCTTATAATGATGAAAATAATACATTAGATCGAGTTTATAAAATTCCCATTCACATCTGATGATTGTTTTGTAAATTTTGCTTTTTATTTCTTTACCGATATTGTTATTTCTCCATATTGTTTCATGCAGGTATCTTGCGACTATGTTTGCTCTATTCATTTGATCTTCCACGTCTGCTGTGACCTTTCTGTAGAGACAATGTGGTGCCTAGATATTTAACCCCATCACTTGTGGATTCTCTAGCTCTAATATACATCTTAGTAGATTTACTGTTATAACCATGCATTTTGTCTCTTGTGTAGAAATTATTATGTTAAATCTTTTGGCAATTATATACCTGGTGCAGCATACATTGTAAATATCTTCCCTATAAGGGGTTAGTATTGCGTCGTATGCATAGCAGATTATTTTAAGTTGTTTTTCTCCCATTTGGTATAGTTTTTTCGTTCTTACTTTTTTATTATTTCATACATCATCAGGTTCCTTGTTTCTTGCTTGTGCATGGCTCTTATCCCATTACCAGCTTCAGTTGGGTCAGTTAGTTCTTCTGCTACTTTTAATTTTATTGTGTTCTGGTATGATATGTTCGACCGTTTTGATTATTCCCAGGGGGTATTATGAATGGATAGTGTCCGTTGATTTGACCCTGCCAAATGCCTTCTTTAGGTCCGCAAAACATAAATATGACAATTTATTGTAATCTAGTGATTCTTTTGCACATCTTCCTTTTTGAAGAGAGGTATTAGAATGATTAATCTTCATTCTAGTGGGATTCTGTTTTGTTGTATTATTTTTTGCGTCAGTTTAAATAGTTGTTTGGTCAAATCTGAAGAAGAAAACTCGAATATTTTGGTCACCTGATGAGAGGACATAAATACGCATTACTTCAAAATATAATGCAGGGAAAAATAGAAGGAAAACGGAATCCAGGCCGTAGAAGAATGTCATGATTGCGGAGTTTGAGAGAGTGTTTTGGCTGCACCACTAATGAACTCTTTAGGTCAGCCGTAAACAAGGTCAGAATAGCCTTGATGATTTCCAATCTCCGATAGGAGTGGCACAAAAAGAAGAAGAAGGTTTCCTTGATGTTATCGATGATATATATTCCCAGCAATTTTCTCTGATATTCTTTGTCTGTATAAGTATCCCCTGCATTTCGTATTTAGTCCATCGGCTCTCTTTTTGTATTGACGTATTTGATTCTTCTTAGATTTGATTTTGATATTGTCGTTGCATTAGTAAGGCTACATTTTATTTGGTCCTGTTTTTTTATGCTACTCTTCTGTAGAATAGTTCCTATACACTCATCAAAGTTTGATTGTCCTTTTCCTTTGTTTTTTTGTTTTCTGTAAAGTGCATGTTTGTTTTTCTTTCTTGGTCTCTTGTATTGAACGATCTAATGTTCCATATGGTAACTTTCATGTGCGTTTTGGATATTTTTCTCTTGTCCTTAATTCTTGTCATGGCCCTCTTCACATAATTAATCTAATTTCGAGTCTTCACGTTGTTTATTGAGCTTTATTCGTTTTTACGTTTGGTAGGTTGCTAACCTTTCCAATTACCCTCCACATTTTATCTGGGCTTGTGATAACTGCAGAGACACTCAATCAACATGCAATTATCCCAGGCAGTATTAAAAAAATTGGTTAACCAAAATACAATTTAGAGTACAACGGAATACAATACAACTGTGATTTTCCTATAATATTCCTGTGGTTCGCGTAGTTTTAGCTAGAGGGGGGTTATGCTAGAGTTGTTTCTCCTATAAACTTGTAAATTGACTTGAAAAACAGTAATAAATTATCTTAATACCTTAAAATCCGCTATTGTCGCAATATTTATACTATGAACGCATATTTACGCAGATGGATTAGAAAATTCAGTTATCTACCTGCTACGGAATTTGGATTCACGTAATTCATTTTACATATAACTGTTCAATAATTATTAGAAACAGTTGTAACAAGCAGTCATCTATCTATATCTTTGTTTTAGTCTAATACTTCGACGGAAATAACGATATTTCCATCTCTGTTTAATCAGTTTTAGACGAAATTAGACAAATATAATTAAACAAGTATACATACTAATTATTATCTCTAATAGTAAGATATAAGAGATTTTGACAATCAATTACTTACATAATATTACCACCTATTTGTTTTATTTTCCAATTAGTAAGTCCTAATTTCGTAAATATTATGTTAAATTTGTGTAAAAATATTTATAAAGATAACCTCTGGAGTTGAATTGTTGATGTAGCATATAACTAAACAGTTTTAAACTGAGCTTTTCAAAATCGACAAAAATTATTTTATTGGATTAGTGTTATACTAGGTTTATAGCCTAAAATGGAGATTAAATCAAATAATATTTACAATAATGATCGTTATAATTAGACAGTAGTGTTCTCTTAGTTTTTGTAAACTTTTGATGTCATCGTTAGTGGTACCTTGGCTTACTCCTACAGGTACGACTTGGATAGTTATTATAACCAAATCTTCACAGGAAATGTTAAATCTTGAATATGTTGCCTGTGTGAGTCCTTTTTAAATAGGTAAAAAGGAATAAGAATAAGATTTATAATGAATTTATTCTACCACCAACGACCGGTTTCGCATACTATAATTTGCTATACATCTTCAGATCTTAGGTACATGGTAAACTAAATGCTGAAATTATAAAAACCTGTATTAGTACACTGTCTGGTACTGAATATACAGTAATATTATGTGTGTGTGTGATTATTAAATATGATTTTAAAAATTTATAAATACATAAAGTAAAACTTAGTTCATACTGTTATGGTAAACTGGTGACGGGGGATCATCGATTTTATTGTAACTATTTAACAAATAGAGGGAAAGTTCTTTTGGGGAAAGGTATTAACAACTAAACTAGATAGATAGAACTAGGTAGATTGTTTGATGAAATTAAGTGTGAAGTGTTATATTGTTTAAAAGCTATTTGTATATTTTCAGGAGGTATATGTTGGAAATGTGTGTTAATTTATTGAAATTATTGATTTAGAACAGACAGCACTATGATAATATATAAAATGGTAGATGTACTATTTTTTTATGTAAGTTTTTAAGTTTTAAGGTAACAATAAGTTTACAATAACTCCAACTTGTAATTATCAAATTATGATGAACATATTTGGGCTGTATTTGGGTAGAAATTATTGTAATGTCAAGTCAATTTAAAATTAAAAACACTTAAGGACACTTAGGGACAAACAGAACACATTCAAAAAGACAAAACAGACATTTAATTTAAAAAAGAATAGTTTAGTTATTAGTATATTTTCACCGATGATCACCCGTCACCAATTTACCATAACAGGTTGAACTATGTTTTCTAAAACAATAAATAATAATCCTTGTATCGGCATATAAGTAATATTTATTAGTTATTTATTTATTTAATTTCAATTTTACTAGATTGTTTGTTTACTTATGTTTTACTTTGTGTATTTAATCAATTTTTAAAGTCGTATTTAATAACACATATAATATTGACATAATGGCTGTAATAATAATAATTTCAGCATTTAGATTATCATGTACCTTCGACCTGAAGATGCATAGTAAATTATAGTATGCGAAACCGGTTGGTAATGGTAGAATAAATTTATTGTTAGTAAGTCCTATTATATATTTTTACCTTTTGGAATGTTAAATCGTTAAATGCATCAATAGCAAAATATTAAAGTTTTACAGATATTTCAAATATGCGTCATTCTTCTTCGTCTGCTTCTGAAATACTTTCTCCCCCGAGGCAATCACTTTATGAAAATTGTCTATAATTTGTGCTAATCTTAGCATTAAAATACTTATTAGAAAATGTTTCCTTTAATTTCATGACTTTTCATGACATTTTCCAACATGAAAAACAATAAATCCGAAGAAAAGGTCGAAGTGCAATTGTCAACAACCTATAAGCCAGGTAAATATTACATACCAATAGTTAACATCACTTCTAAAAGATAACGAAGATGTTATTGCTGACTCGCTGCTTAGGCTACAATGTGCTAAGTGTCACCGGTACATATTTTACAGTTAATTATCAGTGGTATAATAAAGTAGGCGTATCACAACACTTAATTTCGCTTAAAACTGAACTATACGAAAACGCTACAGGAAAAGTTAAAGTGCTTGACATACTCTCAAACGAATTCCTTCCAGAACAAGATGCCAGACAAGGATGTATACTGTCTCCACAATTAATAACTACGTATGGAGTGCGCTTGAAGGATGGGAAAAAGGCATCTCAATAAAT